AGAATCTCTCTCATATATATATATATACATATATATATACAAATATAATCATAAACTTTGTAGAAGAACATACATGTTCTAAAGGTTTTAACGTGCCATCAACAAACTTCCCAATCCTTTCAGTAGGACTCTCAACAGCCAATACAATGGGCCTCTCAGGAGGGGCAACAGAGTTTTTATGTACCTTGGGAATCACATTAAAAAAATGGCTCATTATGTACTGTGACCCACATACAGTAAATCTAAACCCAGATACTGACCTTTGCCTCCACACTGAATGCAATAAGCCATTAATTTCAGCAACAAGGGAAGGCAAAACGTTTTTCCTGTACCTGAGCTAATAACAGCCATCATTATGCCATCTAAGGTCCTTCACCCCACAGTATTCTGATTTAATTAATGCCACATTCCCACCCTTTTCACTGGGCTTAATGACCACTCCTTTCAAATGTTTAAGTTCATCAAATGCCACATGTTTTGTTAAATTGTCAGTGACCATCTTTAACCACTTGCTGTCCGGAGCAATTTCTTACTATTTACACACACATGATAAAGTTTTATTTTTTGTCTAGAAAACAGCTTCAAACCCCCAAACAAGCAAGACTATGGTATTGCGGTTTTGAATCCTCTCTTTTCCCTATTCGCAGGGGAACTAGGCAAGGTTGCCTGCTTTCTCCTATCTTGTTTATTTTGGCATAGAACCCTTGGCGGAAGCCATCCACACAAATGCTGATATTTCTGGAGCAGAAGTGGCGGGAGTACACCATCAATGTTTATGGATGATATTTTGTAAACCATGACACATCTCCTTCGCTAACTTACTTGGTGTGCTGGACGATTTTCCCAACTTCTCGGGACTGCGAGTGAACAAGGCCAAATCTCAGGCAATGTCTGTTTCCTTATGACCCTCGACTGAATTTTGATTGCACTCCTCATTCTCATTCCAATGGGTAAAAACTCACTTTACTTAGGTGTTTTCCTAACTGCCGCCCACAAAACATTATACTAAAAAATAACTTTCCTTCCTTATTTCACTATCTTAATGCTCTCTTAGACTCCTGGCTGAGCTTTCCCATTTCCTGGTTTGGCCGTATAGTGGCACCTAAAATGGAGTACCTTCCTAAACTGTTGTATACTTTTAGATTATTACCTATCGCTATACCTTCTCACATCTTATGAATATAACACAAGTTGTTGCACTTTACTTGATGCCATTCTTGTCCTAGGGTATCCCAGACACATGCCGTCCCCGTTCTCGGCAAATATTATCTAGCAACTAATATTGCATCTCTATCTTACCTCCACGCCTCTTCTAAATGACTGTTGTGGGCCATCCTAGATCTGATTGCAATGTATACTACCATTATGTTATGCAACAAAACATACATTAGTTGTTAAAATGTGCTTCAGGAATTCTTCCAATTACGGAAAAGCATCTAAAACTTCTCTTAGGTGCTTCTCTTTAGATTTGTTTACTTTCAGTTTTTCTGGTAGTTCATTTCTATATAGATTTCTTGGTAAAGAAACTCGAGTGGGGTGTATTTTCTTTTCAAATAGTAAAAGAAGAAAAAAAAGAGTATTTCATTCTATTTCTCAATGTTTTTACTCAAGATTCACACAACATTCACCCAAGATTCACACTTTTTTATACATAAGAATACGTTTCTGTGTGCACATTTTGAGTCATTGTTGCAGTTTTTTGCTTCAAGTGATTTTTTATGTGGCTTTCACATTTTTGCTGTCACACTTCAGCTGCAGACTTGCAGATAAGCTGTTACTTGTAGTTCTACATGTATATACAGACCTCTTACCCCTGGTTCTGCAGGCATGCAGAGCTGTGCTGTTGCTTGTAGTCCTCCAGGCATGTGCTCTGAACCTGACTCCCTCTTGCACCAATCTGGAAGCTTAAGGATCGGCCGACCTCTCCTGCTGTTTCTTATGCAGCTTCTTGGCCAATCGGTGCAATCTGCTTGTGGCCAATCCTGTGGTTCCTCCCTCGTGCTGACTCTATTTAAACCCAGGGCAGAAAACAGCACATGCCCCGAGCAATGCTTTCCTTAGCTAGATGCCGAGCACTGTCTGTGATTGAACCTAAATACCTTGAAGTTTATCTGTGTCCTGATCGTTGGCTTGTCCCTGAAAATCATTGTCCTCAGTCAGTCAGTTTGACTTGTCCCTGGTGATCCCATTCTTCTGTCTGTCCCTATCCTTTGGATACTCTCTGGAAATCCCAGTCTTCAGATTGCCCCTGGTAGTCCTGATCCTACGTCTGTCCCCGACCTTTGACCTTTGTTTTGTCCCTCGTATGTGTGTTTGCAATCTGTCTAGAACTCTGGCTTTGTCATTTATTCTTGGCTGTTAGGGGAGTTGGGTGAGCCTAGGGATTGTGACCTGGGGTCAGCATGCAGCCAAGCTCATCTCC